CAAATTTTAAAATACAGGCAGAAGCTGGGGTTGCAGATTCCTGCTTATGCAAGCAGCGGCTCACATGAGGGACAAGGAAAAGGGCTACGATAAGCACAAGTTCCAGCACGGTGCACAGGTGGCAAGTTGTACTAGTCAACCATGACAGACATATGGCTAAATCATCAGACTGCCATTTATCATCCCGGCATTTCACATTATTTCCTCTTCCTCCTCAGTAATAAAGTTACAAAATTACATGAAAAAGTGAACAATTTAATATCCATAAAGTAGATTAGCTAGATTCTTCCTAGGCATAAGGGCTGACTCATTCCTTCCCACTATCTTACGGGTATCCACATGTGGGACAGCCAAAAAAACACCCCTTTTCTATATAGTGAGAATGGGAAGAAATTACTCAAAGTGTGTAATATTTAACTCTTTCAAGTAACTGCTCAAATGACAGCACTTATTTATTAGCCACAGCCTTTTCTCACATCCCAGTCTCATGGTACAGCAAATGAGCACAATTTTTGGAAGTTCAAATTGTAACCCATGGTCAAAAGAAAGAGGGTGAAGATGCCTCAGATGGATCTCAGGTTCTCAATGGCCAAGTCACCACCAGTCTTTTCAGAAGAACATTAAGCACAAGTAGGAGGGCTGAGAATTCTGCACAGACATAGATCATGCACAGTAGTGAATCCCAAAAAATTAGGATTCAAACACCACAGTGTTCTGTGACATCTGCACTGAAGCCCAGAAGAAAGAGCAAATGCAGTATTTTTCCACCACATTTAATCTTTGTAGTGAGGATATCCAGTGAGGTCACAGCTAAGTTCATGGCACAAGAATGCAGCCTTCCAGGAACCCATCTGAGATGCAGCTGTCAATCCTTCCCCTCCTACTTCACAGAACTAAATTCTAATTGAAAGCCAAAAGTTGCTGGAGAGGAAAAAAAAACACCACCAGGAATACCAAGCCCTCTTCTGATATGCAGACTTGCTAGACCAGGCGAGCTCTGCGTGCCTTTCTTTTCCTCCCTCCCATTCTCCACGTGCAAACACAGTGGCACTCTGCCAATGGCTTTGGCTGCCTTACTTCAGGCCTAGAGAATTAGTGTTAAGGATCATTTCTCTTCAAACAAGCTGAAGGAAAGCTGATAATTAACCTAAGGCAGGTAGTCATAAGGTTGTGTTGACTTCGCTGAACTACTTCACTAGAGCCTGAAAAGAAACAAAAACAAACCAAGAGATCAGAGATGCTAGTACTGCAGGGCTATCCAAGCACCGTCTCCTTTCTGTTTAGGTGTCCCTGGTAAAGCTTTTGTGATCTTCACAATTTGCTTACAGCTGTAATGGATCTTCCCTACCCATGTTAGCTTAAGCCAATTAACTGTCAGCAATTTAGTGAGTTAAGTCATTATGGTCTTTAAGATTTAGCATTTCAGTATCCCCACCGCGCACTGAATCCTCTTAAACTGGCTCACATCCCAGGGGGTAAACACGGGCCAGTAAAGTCCTTCCCGGGGGAGAGTACACCAGAAGGAAAGGGGCTCCTTTATTTCACAAATTGTTTTAACAAAAAGTTGCATGCAAGATCTTGGAATGTTTTAATGTGGATTCAATATAGGAAATGAGAATTGTGCAGTTGATTAAGTATTAATTAAGTAATGAAAGGTATATACTAGAGAGAGCATGGTCCATAGAAGTCAATTCCTACTTGCTTAACAATGCAAGGTGACTGTGGAGTGTATTAGTGTCTCTTAAAGGAAATGCATCTCAAATAAATTGTTATCCTTAACAGAATCAGATATTGGAAGGCTCCATAGATAGTCATCAAAATAGCAGGGTTAACTGTTACTTGTTTTATAAACCTCAAAGTGCCACAATTCGAATAGCCCTGATCTGCTGTAAGTCCAAAATCTAAGGAAAAGAAGGGATTCTAACTTACTCGCATAGATACTTGTCTATTTAAGCACCGTAAAACAATTTAATTACTTCTCTGCTTCATGGATTGGATGGCTTCGTAAGTACACACCTCAAAAAATAAATATTTTACAAGATTAACAATCTCCTCATCTTCCTCCTGTTTTGCAATTTTTCCTTTTTTTTTTTTTTTTTTCCTTCTATTAGAACTTTAAAAGCAATGCAATAGCTCTGAAAGTTTGGTTTTAACGTAAAATCAAATTGCTACTTCAGGACTGTACATTGAAGGCACACTGTGGATAAGGAAAGTGAATCTGAGACAGCTCTCTGCACGTCATTTCCCATTACTTGGGGTTTCAAAACTGCCAAGCAGTAACAAAGCCAAATATCACAGCCCTGAACTTGCAGCCAAAACCCATCTCCAGTTCCATTTGCTCAATCCCCTTTGCCAAGAAGGGAGACATGAGATTGGCCTCAGCCTCCTTTAAGTTACTTGTGATTTACTGCATTAGCTTCCAACAAGGCAGACAGGCTAGCGTATGTCAGCAAAAGGCAAGAACGAATGGCTTAGACTGCACCAAGGGCAGCATATAAACTAGCCTACTTTAAACAAGCAAGCTTGTGTCAATTATTTATTATCTGCAGCATTTGGAACACGTTATTTATTATTCAAGGTGAACACACAAATGTTGGACGGTTACACCCAAAGAAGAAAGCAACCTAAGCCTTTTATTTTTCCCTTTAACTATTTTCTCGTACACAACACCAAGTAACTGCCACTTGAGTGTACCTGGAACTAATATACTAGCCTTTCACTGAAATAATCAAATCACTCAGCTGAATAACAGACAAAGAAAGCTCAATGTTAACAAGCACAAAGTGGGGCCCAAAAAAATAGTTAATACATGAAAGAAAAGGGCAGAACTGACGAAGGTGACCGGAGAAGCCACAAAAATTGGTTTCAGAACAAAAATTCAAGACCTACCCATCTGGCTATGGACGCTAACACATGCATTTCCCAGTTACAGGAATGTTTTTGGTTCCACAGTTAGTCAGTTTTGCAGCTTAGTCTTGGTCCCAGTCAGGGCCTATGTGGGATGCCATTTCAGTAAGGCATGGTAACTGTTCCTGCTGTTCTTTCCACTTTATGTTTCCAGGAACATCTTGTCCTTCATCATATGCAACAATTATTTTTTTTCCTAAGCAACAACATACTGTATTATAACAAGTCTATTGGTATTTGTTCACAGCATGATCATCCCAAAGCAGCGTTCAGCTTTGTAACCTTGCTCACTACTACGTAGCACCTTTCAGTGGCCATGACACTATCAAATCTTCCCCGGATCCAGCTACATTACGGGGTATGGAACAACTGTGAAAATTTAGGGATGCAACATATGTACATCTGTGGATAGCACCCATAAGATCTGAGGCAGTTCTAGACTGAAGGGAATTTCTTACTGTTTGTCATGCAATATTCACAGTCTTGTATTTTTAACTCAGCCTATCATTCATACTTTTACACATGTTAATGCAAAGCAATAGATGAGTTCTAATAATGTAATTTAAGCTGGCAAAATAGCATCCAAATGTAACTTGGCTTCCATAAACCATTCTACCCTTTTTTTAATGTGGTTGTCATCATAAATCTTACCCTTCTCCCGCCCTCTGTTATTATACATGTGTGCAGAAGGGGGCTCTCTATTCCAGTGCTTTTATTTTATATCTGACACGTGTATTCCATGCTGGACTCCCTGCAGAGCTGCTTCCCTTGCTGATTCCCTGGATCCCGGGTTGCATCTTCTGCACAGGTTTCCTTCTCGCACTGCCCCTCCCAAGCATCTTTTGCCTGTGCTATTAAGGCTTTTTATTTGCCGATGAATCTTGAGTGCCTTTGGAGGCAACTAGTCACTGTTTGAGCATCTGGACCCTGACTAACCACCGAACAGGATCTATAAGTATTTGCATTACTATGAATCATTTATACTACTACAGTATGCTCTGTTTAGCTGCTGGGGGGTGAAGGGGGAAAAAATAAAATAAAATAAAATAAAATAAAATAAAATAAAATAAAATAAAATAAAATAAAATAAAATAAAATAAAATAAAATAAAATAAAATAAAAT